CTATTCTCTTGCTACATTGAGGTTGATGTTTCTGTCATTTTTTTGTGTAATCCTAATGTTTAGATTGTGCATGACATGAAGAAAGTGCTCAGTAAATATTTTATGTGAAAGTTAAATGGATAAATACATTTCCTTAGGTTTAAGGAAAATTTAATATATGGTTGTTACTTTCATTGGTATTTATACCGTTGTTTTTTTATGACTTAGACTAGTACATGTTTTTATTTTTTTCCTTAGAAATACTAGCTTATGTTATTTACATTTTTAAAAATATATTTCTAGTTGTAGATGGACACAATACATTTATTTTATTTATTCATTATTTATGTGGTGCTGAGAATTGAACCCAGTTCCTCACGTGTGCTAGGTAAGCACTCTAGCACTGAGCCACAACCACAGCCTATGTTATTTACATTTTGATTAGTTTTAAAATAGCAATGATGGGTTTCAGTGCATTAACCTTTATTTATTCATGTTTATTTATTGACTAATTAACTAGAATTTGAAAGCCTACTCTGTGTACTCAGAACTATGAAGAACAACATGGAGATACAAAGATAGAACAAGGTAAAAAACACTAGGACATGAGCCCTGGGAATCTGTTCTCAGGGACTTTACTTCCATAGTGAGGAAGACAAATCAGACAAGTGCATCAATATGCACAAATGCTATGAAATAGCATATTATAGCATATATGTATGCTATTGTATATATAGTATACATATGATATATACACCAATTATTGTTTTTCTAAGATGGAACTATTTTTATAATTCTCCAGGAAAATAAAAATCTAGAAAATAAAATACTTTCCAAAGAGACAGCCTTTAAAAGTGTTCTTTGAAATGACTACAGCAAATAATCTGAGTGCTGTTTTTAACATTTCTATTTAGTCATTTGGTCTGAAGCCAGTATTCAAAAAGAACAATTATATGAAACTTTAAACCCTGAAGTGTCTGATTCTATGAAGAAGCAGAAAAATAAACATGATTGTTGACAAAAACTTCACAAGTCTTGAGATTTGGGAATTTGCTGAGGGCTAATAACTAAAAATCCTAAGTGAAAAGCTTCTGAAAAGCAGATTATTTTGTAATTTTTTGAACCAAAAATTAAATTTAGGCTCACTTACGGGATCTGACTTGAAAACCCTTAAAGGCTGGATTCAGTCAGACAGACTGAGTTTTATCAGAGTCGTAATTTAATCATGACTTAGTACATTACCATATTGGATTAAGTGGTCATATCACCAATGAAGTTGATAGTATCAAGGAAGTTGAGCATCTTTAATAAATGAAGCTAACACAAGCAGAAAGAGAATATCTGCCTAGTGCACTATTAATTAAATTAATTGAATCCATTGCTAACACCTTCACATAAAGAGGCTAATATTTCCAAACATTTAAAAAATAATGCCAGTGTTATTTAAATTTTTTTATAATGTAAAAAGAGGATATGCCTCTCAACTTATTTTTAAAACGTTTTAAAATCTGATGGGGACATTTTAAAAACATAAATGATAGGTCGATCTTTCTCATGAATTCAGGGATGTAATTATTTTAAACAAAGTACTAGCATTTAGTGATTAAAAATAGTAATATGTCATCAAATGTTTTTTTCAGTAATATAAAATAGTTTCATATGTGAGAAACTGTCAATATAATTCTCTACACTAACAACTATAGAGAAAAAATATCTTGGTCATCTCGATATATGCATATAAGCATTTAATGGATTCACTGCCAATGGGAATAAAGAAAAGGATGGAACCTAAAGTCAATATCATAATTGATAACTTGAAGCTCCAGAGATAAAGAATGAGATGGCTTGTATGGAATATTGTATTAAGGCCCAGAGTGATGCATGAAGACAAAAATAAAATATATATGCATTCTACAAAGACTAAAAATAAAAATGCCCTATTAGCAGAAGATTTTGTTGTGGACATGGAAGAATTATTAGACCTAATAAGTAAATTAAGCAAGATTTAGATAATCAATGTGTATTGAATCAAACGTATTTGTATGTACCTGCAAAAAAAATAAATAGAATTTCAAAAGAAATCATCTGTTGCCATAGTATTAAAACAGTCATGTATCAATCTAATTAAAAGTATGTGACACCTGTACACTAAAAACTACCAATTATCATTTGGAGAAATTCTTTAAAAGATTTATACTAATGGTGGGTATAACATGTTCTTAGATAGTTGTCTCAGTATTTTAAATATATCCATTTTTACCTTGAAAAAATCTCTGCCAATTTCATTTGTGAAAATTAGCAGATATTCTAAATTTTTAATGACATGCCAAATATAAAGAGTAGAATAAATTAAGATCATATCAAAAGGAGGAACAATGCTAGATACTTACAGATAATCAACATTTATTATGGTCTTCTATAATTATGATTTTGTAGTGTTCTTTACACAAAAAATCATTTAGAACAGAATTGATAAGCCATACACAGGGTCATATTTATATGGTAACTTGATTTATGACAAAAGTGGCTTTTCCATAGAGTGGGTAAGTATGTTGTTTTTAATAAGTATTGATGTACCAACTGGATATCCAATATGGGGGAAAAGTGAATTTCAATTTCTGTCTCCCTTCATATATAAAAAATCAATTCAAGCTGCATCATGAATCTAAATGTTAAATATAAGCAGTAACATTTTTGGAAGAAATCATAGGTACCTATCTTTATAACAGGCAAGGAACTTAGAATGTAAAAAAAAATTAGCTACTGTAATAGAATAAATACTTGATAAATGGAACCTCAGTATGATTAAGAACTTCTGTATTTGGGTTGAGGGTATATCTCAGTGTTAGACTGCTTGCCAAGCAAACAAACATGAGCCATAGGTTTCATCCTCCATACCCCACCAAAATGAGAGCTTTTTGCTAAAATACATTATTTTGAAAGTGAAAAGAATGCAAAGTCACAGTTTTGATAAAGATTATTTGCTTTGTATATATTGAACAAAGAATTGCATCCAGAAATATAAATAACTTTAACAAAAAAATAACAGGCAGGTAACCAAATATTAAGAGGTCTTTTGATGGGAAGTTCATAGAACTATCCAGATTTCAATGAAAATTTGAAAAAGTATTCAACTGCATTAATCAGCATAAAAGTGCAAAATAAAACTGTAGTTTGACCCTACCACACCTCAGTCACATTAAACATGAATTGTTTGTGAAGATTTTTATCCACCAAAACTCCTATTTGGAAGATAAATTTAATTTAGGCTCCTGAAAAATGTTTCATTGTATCTACTAAAGGTGAGTATTCATACTCTATAATGTTGCATTTTCAAGAAAATGTTAGTAATGTTTAGGAAAAGACACAAGAGGGCTCCTGTCTTTCTGACAGTGTTCCATTTCTTGAATTCAGCTGATTAAAGGAGTGTGCTGATTTTCTAAAAATATATTTATCTGTTTACCCTTACGGGTTAGGCCCTTTATTATATAAATATTTTAGTCAAATAAAAATATGAAATTCTATTAAAATTAATTGCAAAAATTAAAATTTCCAGATTAATGAAAGTAATGAAATGGTGATATTCATTTGTTAAATCAAAAAAGGAAGCATCATTTACACTTATTAAAGAATATTTAAATGTGGGCTATTTTACATTGCAGAAGTTTATGTTTATTCAGTTTATGTTTAAATTTATGTTTATTTATGTTTATGTATTGTCTTATGAGAAAAGTGCTATAGTTATATGAGTAATTATAAGTACTGTAAATGCATCTGTTAATACTTCAAATGACTCAGCAGAGTATTTTATATTTAAGCCTGCTTTTATTAAACTGGTTCCTGGAATCTTGAATAAATCATGTATTAAAGTGCATATTAAGGAGCATTTATATCTAATTTTAACATCACAGTCTTTTTAGAGAATTTAAGCATCTCAAGTACTAGAAAAACTGGTGATATCTGTTTCCTTATTTGATGTATTAAATCACGAGACCCAATGTGGATCTAAAAACTACCATAAATTTAGGTAATTATGAGTGCAGATAATATGTTGAGATATTAGCTATAACTTATAATTTGGGACTCTTATGATCTGAAATATATTTCTCTCATTGGCAAAACTACAGGTCCTAATAAAATTATTGTGATCTGCTACTTACTTTCATAGTTGAAGGAAATTACATATGTTAGTTATAAGATAAAGTGAATGTTTGTTTTTATCCCATTGAAGAGCAAAGGTGTTCAGGGTCATGAATTTAAAGATTTTATGTGGTTTAAACAAATCACCCTTACACATGTGTTGTAGTGATTGATCTGTGACTTCTGACTTATATATTCTCTCCCCCCCCCCTCTTTTAATGCCTAGGATCTTTGAGATTAGTTTTTCAAATATATATATATATATATATATATATATATATATATATATATATATATATATATATATATATATAATCTCATAGGCCCAGCCGGCATAAAAATGATCTCTTAGTTATCCCTGGCCGTATTTTTTCATAATTTCTTCCATCTCTAAACATTTGCTGAAGTTACTGTTCTACAGTGTGCTTCAAGCAGTTAAATACTTATGGGGATATAAGTGTGTTAACCTAAAAATGTAGGCTTTTGGTGATATAAGCTAATAAAGGAATGAGTTTTAGAAAATCTAGATCATTATCAGGTCTCACTGAAACATCAAAAATCTCATCTGTGCTTTTGACTAGCTCAGGTTGGCACGTATCAGATTGTCTGTCACCATGCCAGATACTTTACATATGTTATCCAATTTAACCATTAGTGTATCTCTTTAGTAGAGTTGGTATCTGAGTTCTATAGACATGGAGTCTGACAGGAAAATAAGTAATTTACCCAAAGTTCCATGGTTATATGTTTAGTAAATTTGAAAACTTTTAAAGTGGATACTAACGTAGGATATTTTTAATGATGACCATTTTTTTTTAAAAAAATACATCATTTTAGTATTCTCTGATTTATATATTGAAACATCGTAACCTTTTTTTCAGTGTATAGTCTTTGCTATGACATCTGGCCAAATGTGGAATCATATTCGTGGACCTCCATATGCTCATAAGAACCCACACAATGGACAAGTGGTAAGCGTGTTTTCTAACCATTGGTATTCTAAACTTAATTCTTACTTAATGATAGGAATCAGAAATTAGGTTTAGCATTTATAATAGAGGATTCTATTCATAACTATATATTTTGTTTATTCTCACCACCCCTGTCACATGTTTACATGTGCGTGTGCACACACATGCCCACACACATGCTCACACACTCATACACATATAACTTTTTTTTAGGGTGAAGACTGCTCTCATGTTGATTTTTAAGATCAATATATCTATCACATCAATATATATGATGTATATTCTACTTTTTTAACTTCATAAATTGCTATGGTGAAAACATGTAATGCCACAAAAGAAAATGTATACACCTTATAGCCAGTGTACCATCAATGGTAAATTTAACCTACTTCAGAAGAGGTTAATTAAACCATCATTAAGATTTCTAGCTGTCATTATGGTAGAATGTTAAGAATCCTTTGCCAGAAAATGAAAAGTGGAATTGATATGTTTTTAAATTACTGGCAGATTTCACATTAGTCACTCACTGCTCCTGGATTCACTTGATAATGTTTATTGCCTTCCCTTTTCTTTTGATGGGTAGGAAATACTGTAATAGATCAGCATAGCCTAGTACTTTCCATGAAGCTTAGTATTAGGATGGTGAAGATTCAAAATACTTTTAAAATACATATTTTTCTCTAACTTAAAAAAAATATTTTATCTGTTCTCCCACTTTGTTCTTTTCTCTTGCTGCTGGAGTTTTTGGAAATGAGTGCTTACATTACATTTCATATATAAATATTTCAGTAGATATCCCTTGATGCGGGATAGCTTAATCAGGTTTTAGGAACTAATTGCATATTATCAGACTAGCAGTCATTTATACTGTATAATAAGCAATTTGGTCTTAACGGTTTTACAAACATTTTCAGATTTCTCCTATAGATGGTAAAGTTACAGTCAGCATTAGACTATATGGATAATCATCTGCCATAAGTTAATCACACATGACTTTTATATTGTTGATGGTTTTGAAATGTCATTATATAAAGAGAAGAATGATTTCAACTTGCCTTCAACATTCAAAATCAAGTTATTACAAAGAAAATTGGATAGTTATGGAGCAACAAATCATTCCCTTATCTTTAAATCTTCACCATAAATTCAATCTCATCAGTGATACCACCTACCACCCTGTTTGAAAAGTCCTTTTTTCTCTTATAAAGTGAGTCCTTATACTCACTTTCTCCTTTTCCTGTTTTATTTTTCCTTAATAGCATTGATCACCTTATAATATGATGTAATTTACATATTTTGTGTCATTTCTGTTGTCTTTCACTGTGACTCCAATATTATATATAAGCTTCTGACAGCACAGATTTTTGTCTGTTCTGGGCACTGATATATTCCTATCATATAAAAATGGGACCAATGCAAAGATTTGGTCACTGTTATGATATTTTTAAATGTGTATGTTTAGGAAATATCATAAATTTATAATTACTGATATTTTTTAATATTTATTTTCAGTTGTAGTTGGACACAATACTGTTATTTTATTTTATTTATTTTTATTGGTGCTGAGGATTGAGCCCAGGGCCTCGCACATGCTAGGCAAGCGCTCTACCACTGAGCCACAACCCCAGTCCCATCATTACTGCTTTTTTTTTTTTTTTTTTTTTATAAAAAAACCTTTTTTTTCCTTGAGTTTTATTATTTAGAAAAACTAGTTTTAAGGGAATTAGGATTTATATACTTTTGGTTAAGCAATAAGTTTTATTTCAAAGTTTTACATTACATTCCAAATTTCAAATTTTTCTTTAAAAGCTGAACTTAGATAATATAAAAACAACAATGTAACTATGACAATTATTATTCACTTGGTATATATTAATTGTATCTTTATCCAGTGTAAAAGTCTTTAAACTGTAAGATTTCTTTAAAAAAATTTTTAAATTGTTATTATTAGTTATACATGACAGTATTTTGACACATTGTACACAAATGAAACACAACCTCTTATTCCTCTGGCTGTACATGGTGTAGAGTCACACCAGTAGTGTAATCATACAAGGATATAGGGTAATAATGTCTATCTCATTCTACCATCCTTCCCATCCCCACAGTCTTTATTATTTTTTAATATTCTTCTAGGACAGCATGTCTTAGGCTAAAAAATTCTTTTTATTAATGTTTCTATTTCATTAAAGTATATAAAATTGATCGACTTTCTTATGTAATATTTTAATATGTCTATGTGATCTGTGTCCTTGTTTTCTTCACTGTTTTGTTCTTGAGGCTCTGTCCTCTTGCATATGGTTTACTGAAGTGTGCTTTAATGATGAAACTTGCACTGATAATGACAACAAAAGCCATCTTTTGTTGATTATTGAATGTCAGGCACTAGGCTATGTAAATGAATATTTTAGGTTATCACATGAATATTCCTAAAGCATACTTTTGTGGTAATAATAGTGATATGTGCATTTCAGTTACCACTTAAGTTGGAAATCCTAAATGGCTCCTGATTTCCTGCCCATTATAATTTTTCTTTTCAACCTGATACTCTGCTACTTTGTAGAGAAACTCAGTGTTAGCCTATTTGTACTGTTCATTGTTCTCCAAAGACATGATTTATTTTTCTGCTTCCATTTCTGGAGTATTCATTACTTTTAAAAAATCATGCCCACCATTCAGATATCATCTAATCTACCATTCCTCTGAGGTTAATTCCTTCTTTCTTTGTTGTCTCTCCTTTCTTATATACATTTATGCATATATTGTTAATCTATTTAGATATTGTAAGCTTTCTTTTAGTAGAATAATTTTTAATGTTTCTAACAATGCTTATTAGTCAAATCCTTAAACATACAGAGTTTCTCTTAAGCTGTTTTTCATCTGTAAAACATGCATACCATTTTGAAAGATTGGCACGGCTCTTGAGAAAAGGTACTCTGAAGGTACACAAAGAAGCATAATAATAAAATAAAATTTTCTGTAAAAACCATTTTCCTCATGTATAAATCTAATTTTCAAATATATTTATTTATATTGTTAACACTTTAATAGAGAATTTAAAGAAGCTGAGCTTATAGAAGTAGAGTAAAATAGTGGTTACCAGAAGCTAGGGAGGGGAAACAAAACAGGGAAGGAGTTGAGATTGGTAAAAGCGTATAAAATTATAGTTAGATAGGAAGAATAAGTTCTGGTGTTCTCCTGCACCATAGGGTTACTATAGTTAACAATATTGTATGTTCCAAAATAACTATAAGAGAGGATTTGGAGTATTCTTACACAATGATGAATGCTTGAGTCAATAAATATGCCAAATAACCTGATTTGATCGTTACACAGGGAGTACATGTATCAAGACATCATTGTGTCGCATAAATATGTACAATTATTATGTGTCAGAAATAAAATTTAAATTATAGTCTCCTTGTACTAAATTTTGCAAACTTATTTATAGGAAACTATTATACCCCAAAAGCAGCAATCGGATTCTAATTTTTTTTTCAGATTTGCTAAATGATTGATGTCAACTATATTTTGATTTATGTTCAATGAATTGAGAAGTTTATGCTAAAACTATTAATGAAGAATTATGTCCTTTACTACTGAACTTTTTAAATGCTTTAGATTTTCACTATCAGATTCTCTATAGTTTCATGAAATATTGTCTCACTTTCTCTGAAGACATAGTTTCTAAAAACAATTCTGAGTAGGGATGAATTATTTTGTGTCATGTTTTTCCTGTATTTGTGAGGTGTTTTTTTTCCAATTATAGCAAGTACATTTAACATTACATCTACTCTCTTTAAATTTTAAGTATACAATACAATATTTTTAACAATAAGCAAGATTTCCTGGATTTATCTTGTGAGAGTTTTTCCTTTTTGAGTATTAATATTTCCCCATTTCACAAGTATTAGGTGCTTAGCCATCACCATTGTACTCTCTACTTCTGAGTTTTGACTGTTAGATACCCTAAAAAATTGGAACCCTGCATTTTTTGTCCTTTGGTATCTAGGCTATTTCACTTTGCATTTTGTCTTCAGGTTTCATCCATGTCACGTATGATAAGATTTCCTTCTTTTTTATTCCCGAAAAACATACAATTATATGTATATGCCACATTTTTATTTATTAACCTGTTAGTGGATATTTAGTTTGTCCCATTTCTTGGTTATTGTGAATAGTACTGCAGTGAGTATAAGAGTGCAGATTTCTCTTTGAAATTCTAATTTTAATATTTGGGACAAATACATAGAAGTGGGATTGTTGGATCATATAGTATTTCTGCTTTCACTTTTTTGAGACATTTCTATACTGTTTCCCATTAGATGTACCATTTTACTCTTCCACTAACAGTGTACTATGCTTTTCTTTTATCCACAACCTTGCCAACACATATGCATATGTTTATTTCATAATAGCCTTCCAAATGTATATGTGATGATATCTCATTGTGACTTTCATTAGCATTTACTTGGTGATTAGTGATGTTGAACAAACAGTTTTTGATGTATATATGGGCCATTTGTATGCATTCTTTGGAAAAGTATCTATTCAGGTTCTATGTTCATATTTTAAATGTAGTTGTTTGGTTTTTTGCTGTTGAGTTTTAGGAATTCCATATATGTTTTGGATAGCAGCCCATTATTTGATGTGTGATTTGCAAATATTTCCTTTCATTCTGTAGATCACTTTTTCTCTTTATTCTTTGTTTCCTTTGTCATGCAGTTTGATGTGGTCCTACTTACCTATTTTTTACTTTTGTGTTCATATCCCAAAAGATTATTGCCAGAACCAGTGTTGTGAAACTTTTCTTCTGTTTTCTTATAATAGTTTCAGGTATTATATTTAAGTCTATCATAGATTTTGAATATAGTTTTATATGTCCTGTGAAATAAGGGTTCAGTATTTGTTTGTTTTTGATATTGGAAATTGAACCCTTGGCACTTAACCACTAAGCCACATCTGCAGCCACCCCCCATCCCCCTAGCAACTATAAGATG